TTGTACATTTTTATTTATACATATGTATATATATATTTATAATTTAGGGACCTATGTTTATGTCTATTTAATGTATATTTACATGTTTGTTTGTTTACATATTTATTATCAAATCTACATTAACAGTTCAAATTGTATATCAACTTTCGTTTTTTTTTATGTCCACTTTTGATCATTTTATAAATATAAATTGACATGTTCGATACCATGTAGTTGGTCTATGAATGAATACATCTCTTTCTTTCTTATGGTTTCCGAGATTCCCATCATATTCATATCTTGGACACATTTTATATACACATGCATGCCTATACCGTGTGTAAACCGATTCAGGCTCAATTCAATAGTTTTTTTGTTTCTCCGGATATCAATGTGGAATTTTGGTGGTTGAATAGGTATCTCAAAAGTACTGTTTTCATTTTCACTCCGATCATACACATGAATCAAATATTTTCTTGAAAAAAAATATTTTACAGTATTTTCGCATAGGAAGTTTGTATGTGAAATGAACTCCCGAAACCTGAAATGTTGGAGTTATTTTTTGTTGAATTGGAAATGTTACAAAAAATATTTTCGATTTGGTCAATAAAAATTATGGTACCATTTGAACCATTAAAATTCCACATTGATACCAGGAGAAGCAAAAAAGTTATAAGGGGGAATCAGTTTACACCTGTATAATTGTTTAGCAAAGTGTTTCTTAACGAATTGTTATTCAATTTTTTTCCGACTATAAACATATAATTATTTATCCATCAATCTAGAAAATAACTCGAGATTTTTACATTTTCCAGTTTTATAACTTGGCCGGTGTCAGAATGGAGCACCTGTGCAACAAACTCGGCCTCGTCGACATTGAACTGAAACGCAAAATATGGACCGTTTTTGAAGACTCTGTTCGGAACAGCGATCTTATCAAAGACAGGCACCTGGACCAGCTGTTGATGTGCGCCATTTACGTCATTTGCAGGATATCTTCAATATCGCTCAAATTCCAGGACATCATGAAGTTCTATAGAGAACAACCTCAGAGCAGTAGTAGTGTATATCGGGATGTATTGTTGAAAAGAGAAGGAACAGATGACAGTAAGTGTTGTCAGAGTCAGAAATGCTTTATTGTCATAACAGTTTAGGTTTTGTTAACAAAGCAGGCTTAAGAACAAAAAACAATCTGAAACATTAACATAAAGGTCAAGAATTTAAAACAAGATATTAATATGAAGTTTAGGTTTTGTTGACAAAGCAAGCTTAAGAATAAAAAACCATCTGAAATATTAACATAAAGTTCATGGTAAAAGTCTGATAAAAAATGTTTTAAGTTGGAATTATAAGTTGCTAAGTCATCCGAAAGAAATTCCTCAGTAGTATAATAAGCTTTATCTAGTAGAAGTTTTTTTACTCTTTTTCGAAACTGTTTGTAGCATTTTAACTTTCTGATTGAAAGAGGGAGATGATTGAAATATTTTTTGCTATTATAAAGAATCGAATTTTTAATTTCTGCTGTTGACGGTATAGGAAGAGGAATATTGAATGTGAGACGAGTGGCATAACTCTTGAGTTGAGTTCGAGATGTGTTATCTTTGTGCTTTTTGTGCATTAGGCAGACTGTTTCTAAAATAGACTGTTAAAATGTAGACTGTCAAAATGAGATGTGCTAAAAAAGGGGCTTACAGGAATCATGCACTCTAGCTCTGGTAATGAATCTCGTTGCTCTTTTTTGTATTGTGAAAACTTGACTCATTAAGTTTTGACAGCTGCTCCTCCAGAAACAAATTTCGTACCGCAAGTGGGATTCGAAAAGCAGCCATCCAAATGTTTAATGTTTGTTCGGCAAAGCCTATAGCGATGCCAACGACAGGTTCTGGTCCGATAAAGCTGCTTGCAGCACCCTACTTTGCAAGGGAGTCTTTTTGGCAGATTTTTAGTCTTCTTGCACTTCAAAGACAATCTTTTGTGGGAATCTCACAAAAAGTCATTTTTCTTCTGTCGCTTCAACTCTCACGAATATGGGGACGTTGTCCACATTTTTAGTACCCCCTACATGGCGGCAAGGCTGCATATTCTGAGGGGTCACCTGGTATCCCAGCAATACATGATCATGCTCAGGTATTATTCATCCATCGGCGTGGGTAGCTTAACACTTTGGTTTTGGCCATATTGATCCACAGAAGGGGTTTCAAGGTTTCTCTCCTTCCAGTTCACTGGTCATGCTGACAAGGCCTCTAGTTCCGCATCTGGGGACACCCAGTGCCCAATTAGCATTTTTATATTTCATAATAGTAACGAAAACGTTTGGAGAAACGGATTATAAAACTATATTTCTCCCAGAAATGTTTTCAATGTGTTTATAAAACAGCTATAAGAAGGAAATTGGCAGATTCTCTCATCCTTTTTTTGTATCAAGATGGAGTAGTAGAAAGCCAAAATCTTTCTTTCCTTGAAATTGGCACCGTTTTATAATCATTATAGTCTTCATTAATAAAATATTACAAAACAGTTTCATAAACATTTCGGCAGTTACTATGAAATATTTCTGACACTCTTAATTAAAAAGTAGTTAAATACTTCTCTCACTGCACTTTGTCATCATATTTAAGCCATACTTACAAAATAATTAAAAGACAATTTTATAAGACTTTTTCAAGTAAGCTTTATGGAATATAATACAGCCTAAAAGGATAACAATAAAAAAAAAGTGTCAAAAATGTGTTCTTAGGGGCGCAAGAAGTAATTTTGTATTGGACACTAGGAAAATATAAGAGATACATCACCAACTAAAAATTAATAAATAGAAAGGTTGAGGCCATTTTAATAATTCCACTTTTGTTCTTATGAAACTGTTGAAGACATTTTTTGTGCTTCAAATATTGATATTTTTGCTGCGAATGGAATTTTATGGACTGTTGCTCTTTTTTGTATTGTGAAAACTTGACTCATTAAGTTTTGACAGCTGCTCCTCCAGAAACAAATTTCGTACCGCAAGTGGGATTCGAAAAGTGTAAAGTATGCTTTTCTAGCAGATTGATAGTCCAAAGAGTTAGAGATAGACCTTATCGCTTAACAACTTCAGGATAATTTTTTGCATAGTATACTAATATGAGTTCCAAATTTTAATTTGTTGTCTATGTTGAGGACTAAAAATTTGTTCTCTAGTTTATGATCAATGATGTGTTCTTCCAGGACTCTTAATCATTTTCTGTTTTTTTATCAACACAGGTCATCCATGGGACCTCTGCGCTGAATAAAGTTCTTTTGAATTGTAGTTTCTTAGTACAGAGACTGTTTTCCGTTTCTTGGAGTATTCTGAATGAAGTCGTCTCAACCCTGACTCAGTGTGGTTTCAGGGTGGCATCTACCATAGCCGCAATAGGTTAGGTTAGGTCAAAAGTGACTGGGTCTATTAGACCCTCCACTGCAGCCCGCAAGGGTTTATAAATCCAGCTTCTTAAAGGAGCAGTTTATATGGTGAGTGATCTCTCAGGTCAGATGGTAAGAGTGCAGCTGTGTCAAACTTTGATAACCTAATTTGGTCCGCAGCGGAGCAGGCACAAAATATGGGCTCTGCTGGTTAATCATTTTCCGAACAGAGACGACACACACTGTCTTCCGACAGTCCGAGTCTCTGCATATGGTAATTCAGACGACAGTGATCTGTTAGAAGGCCTGTTAGACATCGGCAACAACTGTTTGTTATCAAGCTTTGAAGGGAGAATGAACGCCTTGGAATGAATCAATACTCGAAGATTTTGCCAGAAGTCCAAAAATCTTCTTGCCATCCAAATGTTTAATGTTTGTTCGGCAAAGCCTATAGCGATGCCAACGACAGGTTCTGGTCCGATAAAGCTGCTTGCAACACCCTACTTTGCAAGGGAGTCTTTTTGGCAGATTTTTAGTCTTCTTGCACTTCAAAGACAATCTTTTGTGGGAATCTCACAAAAAGTAATTTTTCTTCTGTCGCTTCAACTCTCACGAATATGGGGACGTTGTCCACATTTNTTGGTATCAATAGCAAGCATTTTAACGCAAGAAAAAATTTAAGTTCTAGGTTTTGTTAGTATTTCCAATATACAGGGTGGTTGAAAAATTTCTAAAAAGATTTTTTTATGAAACATCCAGTAATTTTTTCGTCAGTTTGACACGCCTTGAACTAAGTCTAAACCTAATATTTAAGCTAATATTATTTGGTATATAGTTATTGTGGCTAGCGTCAAATAAAATTATATGACAAATTATACTTCATTACACAACCTCTAAAATCAATGATAGCAGGTACTTCTCTAATGCTCATTTTATCCTTGAGGACAGCAAATATATATTCGCAGAAGCAATTTGATTTTATAACAGTTATTTCAATTGAATTGTAGTAAATGTACCATGTTATGAAATAGTTGGGAAGTTTTTATGATGCACTGTTTGGAACCTTTGGTGTAGTAATGAATATTACTGGAGTTTTTTTCCCAACACGAAGTCGCTATTTTCAACACCTCGACACGTGTTTCGATCACCAAGTGATCATCTTCAAGAGGAAGATTAAACTAGAAACTATCGCGAAGCTAACGCTATTTATGCTATATAGATATATGGGTTAGAAAATAGGGGACAACTACCATTTCTTGACGTTTTGGTAATGAGGAGCCAATATGGAGGGTTAGAATACGATATATTTAGAAAAGAAACAAGCACGTACAGGTATATTCCTGACAGTTCACATCATTGTGGACAACACAAACGTGCTGGGTTGAATTTTTTAGTGCATCGACTTTTGACTTTCCCTCTAACACATGATAGGATCACAAAATAAAGACGTACAAAACAGGAAATAGCAGCCACTAACGGTGTCTCGAAGGGTATTGTAGATGACATAATAAGAAAGAAAAAGTTTAGGTTAAGAATGAATAAATTCTCGACTTTCGGAAAGGACAAAAACCAAGATAAATACATCTCAGTTCCATACCACCAATATACGAAGAACTTTGGAAATAGTTTCAAGGAACTGGGTATGAAGGTGGTTTTTAAAACAAGTCATATACTACAGAGCATTTTGGGAAGTCCAAGAGACAAAGTCGAGAATTCGGAAAAGTCTGGAATTTACTAAATTGAATGTAAGGACTGCGATGCAAAATATTATGGACAGACAAAAAGATCTATTAAAGTAAGATATAAGGAACACATAGCACACTTGAAATATGGGAGACCTGAAAAATTAGCAGTCGCCTATGATATTTTGCAACAAAACCATCCCATAGACTTCAGTTCACTAAGATTAGTTAGACAAGTTAACAACAACGTTTCTCAACGTCTCAAAAACCAATATATTATACTTCAGGTGTGATCTTGGTAACATCGAACTGGATAAAGGTTACATAGATAGCCGTAACAGCACTAAGTTCCTAGGGGTATTCATTGAAAATAACTTGAAATTTGAAGAGCATGCAATGAATTTAAATAAAAAACTGGCCTCTGGCTGTTTTGCTGTGAAAATGATATTGCAGGAATTGGGATCCTCTGCTGCAAAAATAGTATACCATGCAGTAATTGAATCCCATCTCAGATAAGGCTCCTCATTTTGGGGAGTATGCAATAATAATGTCATGAAAAGCATCCTGATTACGAAAAAAAGAGCAATTAAATACATTTCGAAAGCAAAGGCGCATGATCCATGCAAACAACTTTTTGTATTGCATAAACTACATACTGTTGTTGCCATATTCATAGCGGAGACAGTTTGTCTGATCAAAAAACATCTGAATAAATTCAATACGGCTAACCGCTATCCTACACGTAAGCAAAACAGTATTAACTTACCCAAGCCGAACTTTACTTTAGTGAAGGACTCTATTTATAATGGTTGCAAGATATTCAATCACTTACCTGATTTTATAAGAGAAATTAACATATTAGATAATTTTAAAAACGCTGTTTACTTCTTACTGTGTAGTCGCCCGTATTATACTTTGGAAGAATTTTATGCGGATAGCTTTTAATCTAATTATTTTTTATTTTATTTACTTATTTTTTTTCTTATTGTTAAGGATTTTTGTACTATATATTGACTGACAAATTGTACCTTTTAGCATTTAGTGTTTTATTTATATAAGTACTTTGTCCACAAGAATTCCTTGTTCTTTATAAAAATAAAGTATTGATTGATTTGATTTGAACAACAGGCAACTAGATGCCTATGAGAGTGTGGAAATAAGTAAACACAATAATATTATGAATAACGATGACGGACCTATACCAAATAGCATACTATATAGCTCGTTGAAATAATATTGTTGGGTTTACTGATTACTACATAAGGACACATTGTAAAAATCCATTTAGAAAGGCAATATTGTGAAATTAATTTTTATATAGCTGAAAATTGTTTTATATACAGCTATAACATTTAAACATATATTGTAAAATAATAGATAAGGCAAAATTGTAAAATTAATTTAGGGTGGTATACCTGTAGGGTATATCTATATAGCATAAATAGCGTTAGCTCTGCGATAGTTTCTAGTTTAATCTTCCTCTTGAAGATGATCACTTGTTGATCGAAACACGTGTCGAGGTGTTAAAAATAGTGATTTGGTGTTGGGAAAAAACTCCAGTACTATTTATCAGTTGGGAAGTTATCATTAAAGTGACAATATGGCAATAAAAACAAAATTGTCTTTGAAATCATTCCAATAAAATTATTTCATTAAAGCTACAGGAAGCAGTTTCATAAAGAAAGGTTTTTTAATTTTATTTCATAAACGTTTCTATGACAAATTTATAAAACACTTTTATTGCCTGTTCACAGTTCATCTAATATAATCAATTAGTATTTTGGGATTTTATAACAATTATGTAGTGTACTTGACAGAATAAATAAATAAATGAATAAAATACCAACAAAATGAAACTGTTGCAGCACCATGAAATTATAAAAGAATTTTGCCGGTTGGGTGGAGATTTCCCAAATGAGCCCTCTCAGGGTTCTTTAGTAAACAGGAGATGGGTTCTTTTTCATTGCTGAAATATCAACAGCAGCAATCAATTTCTTCACACTTCATGATACTAATCATATACATTATGAATAACAAGCCCAGAACTGTTCCTTGTAAAATACCGAGTTGCATTTATTCTATAAGTAACTTCACCCTCAACAATTCATTTTCAGATGGACCACATCCAGAAGAACGAAGTGACCTCATTTACTTCTATAACTCCAAATATGTTGAAGTGATGCAGAAGTTTGCTATCCGGTTTAGGAGTTCCTCACAAGTAAAACAAACATTTTTGGGGTTATATTTTTGTTCTGTTCACGTGTATTTTTTTCAGAGTGCCAATTTGCTATTAAGTCCTCTTCCAGCTATAAAAAGGGATCTGGTCTCTCCTAGCATTCAAGTCGTCAGCAACGTTTATGTAAGGCCTTTAGAAAATTCCGCTGCCGCCACTGGTGGATCTTTCAATTATTTCTTCAGCCGTAGCCCATCTAAGGTAATAAACTATTTTCATTTTCGTTTTTGTAAAAACTATTCCATCTTTGTTATCAGCCATATCGTTTACGGTGTTTCGCAGAGATTCAAATATTATTTCACCCAAGAACTGTTGATGATAATGGCCATTGAAAGCTGTAGGCATACGGGGTAATATGTAAGGTGGGATAAATAAGTTTAACTCATTGTTGACGATTTTGGGATATCGTTACTCTCTATAAACAAAATGAATCACAGCCATGTATGTGCAAATAGAATATAGTTCCATATGGACTTTGTGAACAATGTAGTACAGAATCTGTTGCATCTCCAAAAATTAAGTGGACTGATGATGCAAACTAAGTTGATAAAAGATGCTTGTTTTGGATTTTTCTTCGCCAGAAGTTTCAGTTCTATCTTTCATTATGAATATAAGAACTAAACATATTTGAATACATTGACACAAATTGGTGTGTCAGGATAAATAAAACAAACACCCCCTCTCACCTATACATCTTCATAAAATTGTAGGATCACTAAACCATTTAGTTTTTAAATGGAAACTATGTTTATTACCTATTTTTCTTGTATGAAATAAAAATTAAATAAAACGTGAGCAAGACATATCTATAAAATTCGCTGAATGGAATGTGAATACCAATTTGTGAAATTTTCCTTCTGAATCGACTCGAGAATTCAATGAAACATACCATCTATCAAAAAGCATTAAAAAAGCATATCTGAAACACTTTACTGTTTCTATTTCACAATGCCAAGTATTCATATTTTATATGTATTTTAACTAATAAAAATTTCTTTCTTTCTAAGATTAGAATTAGGATCGGCAGCTCAGCCTCATAATTATAATAATATGTTTTATTGCCCAAAAAACATTAGGTCTTATTGACAAAGCTGCAAATTTTCATCAGTCATCATAATATTACACATAATAGTACAAATAATATTAAAATAGTCAAACACATATAAAATTGATTAAGGATATAATACAATAAAAAATAATACCAAAAAAGTTTAAAATGTTTAAATGCAATATACCATACTTTGTCTATTCAATGAAAATACAGTTGACAAAATAAATTAGAGAAAGTTGTCCTCATAGAAGTCTTCTAAACTATAGTATATACCACGTAATAAGTCTTTTACTAATTTTCGAAATACACAGTTATCCTCTAAAATTTTAATATGGTCAGGTAAATGATTAAAACATCTTGAGACCATTATAATATATAGAGTCTTTGACTAAAGTAGAGGCTGGTATGGGTAATCTTAGGTCGTTAGTTTGACGAAGGGCATAATAATTGGAGTAACCGCTAAATATCAATTTATGTTTATTAATTAAACGTACTGTTTTTAAAATAAAGATTCCAAAAACTGTCAAAATTTTATGTAATTCAAATAGGGGTTTGCAGAAGTCTCTACTTTTGGCATTGCACATGAACCTTATAGCCCTTTTCTGAATAATGAAAACCGCCTGCATTTGAGTTTTGCTACATACTCACCAGAAAGGAATTCCATACCTCAAATGTGACTCAACAAGTGAGAAATAAGCCGATTTAGCGGCAGACAAACCAAGATCCTTATAAGTTATTCTCACTGCAAAACACCTTTTTATTGAGGGTTACAATGTGATCGGCGAATTTGAGTTTATTGTCAATTATAACCCCTAAAAATTTTAGTACTAGTTCTGTTTTCAATTATCCTGTCCACGTCCTGTGTTGGTAAAGGAATGTTGAAAATGAAGCAGCGGACTGATATTAAATTTGTTTTGGAAACATTAAAGACAGTATATTAGAGTTGCACCAATTTTTTATTTATTTTTTATATCTGCACTTATAATCTCGTGGAGATTACATAAAGTTTTATCATGCCATAATATTGTGGTGTCATCGGCGAATAGGGTAAATTTTCCTTCTATATCGATAGAAGTTTAATCGTTTATGTATAGCGGGAAAAGTATCGGTCCCAGTATTGAACCTTGTGGTGCGGCTTTTTTATTTCGCCTTCTGATGAGGATGATGAGGTTTTCACAATCTGACGTCTTCCTAGGAGATAATTCGCTAACCATTTATGCGTAATTCCACGGATGCCACAGTGATATAGTTTTTTAGCAGTATTCCATGATTTACACAGTCAAAGGCTTTAGCAAAGTCACAGAACACTGCTGCTGATGATTTGTTTTTATTAATGTTTCCATTAATATCATATAACAAAGAAAAGATGGCACCATGGTGTCCCCCTGTGCCCCCCGAATCTATCACTTCAAAACAATCTGTGTCGTAGATATTGGTTTGTCGAGTCCATTTATTTTTTTACGTCCATGTTAAATAGATAATGATTAACATAGTGACAGGCAAATTACTCCAGATCTATGTTTGAGTTTAATAATTTGACCAAAACATTCATCTTGAATGAAATTCAATTCATTCATTGTATATTATTTGTTTGCTAAAAAAATTATTTTAATATTAACATTGACATATAATAATATTTATCCTCTTTTTAGGACTTGAAAGATATTAACAAACTCGTGAACAGCAACAATAGAGTAGTCGGCAAAAGATTACTGACAGAGAATGATCTGGATTCGAATATCATGCCCCCCAGTAAAAGAATTTCAAACAGAAAATTGCAGTCTCTCGTCGAAGAACGCAGAAGTCAAAACACTGAATGAGCTCCTTCTCAGTAACACAATGTTGATATATTTGATTATCAATCATTGGGTTATTCGGATCGATTGAAAGATAGACAATATCTCAATATTTTATCGAGTTGGTCTATACTCATATTGGTATTTTGGCAATCAGAAAAAATATTTCACTGCAATTTTAGGTATGCTTGCTCATTAATAGAAAGGTGGATAAAAATGTGGATGGATGTTCTCGCCCTGATTACGAAAGTGCAAGAAAAATATTTTTAACAGAGGTATTATTCAATCAAGCTATTATGTAACATTTGGTATGGTATATTTTCTTGTTCAATTGCAATACTGGTCGATAATGCCATGATGTTATATTTTTATATTTGGTATCAGGTGAGAGATTACCTTTGATATTTTCTTAATTTTTCTGATCTTTGGAAACGGTTATTATTGCTTAAATTAATAATAGATTTTGAACCTTGAATGGGCTAATGGATGAAGTTGCAAATCATGAATCAAAATATTCAGAAGAGTATTTTATGTAATTTTTTGTAATTTTCTGATACTTGATGAAAATTCAAAAAGCATTCAAGTAACAGTGATATTTTCACTGGACAGTTACAAAATCGCAACACGTGTTTCAGTAAACAATATCTTTTGGAATGGAATTAATCGATTTAAGTATTCTTCCTTTCCGTTTAGGGTTTTGTGACGGTTTCATACGTACAGTCGAATTTCTTGGAAATTCATCGAGTCCCAAACACCCTGCTGTTTGAGTCGGATTTTTCCTGCACTGATGAGTTGTTTTCTGGCAGGCATTTACGAGAACCTACTGTGTAGGTGACTTGGGAGAGATTAATATTTCGAGATTTTATTTCGAAATATTTATTATTTTATATGTATGTATCTCTTTTTGATACAGTCTTCAGGCTTGTTTTGAAATTCCTGTAGTTTGGGATTAAATGGAATATTCGTCATTGTGACATGAACAGATTTCTCTTCCAGGACAAAGTTGTAATCTTGTGCAAAAATGATGTGTTTTTGTCTTCAAAAGTTCACTTATTTAGATAGATAGATATTTAATTAATCTCTTATGGTTGCTTTACAACATGAAATAAGTCACAGTACATAAAGAAAAAAAATTCTCATTTGATATAATCATTGCAAAAAACATCACAAATCTCCTAGTCACATGTTAAAATACATTGAGACATAACTGCCTAGTCGCTAAGTTGTTTATACTTGTCTAATGAATAAAAGGCATGGCGGATGAGAAACTTTTTCGAAGATAGTTTCAAATGTTTCATATTGGTAATGAGTTTCAAGTCTTCAGGCAAAAGATTGAACAAATGTGCTCCAGCATATAGAGGGCTCTTTATATGTTGCTGGGAGTAATTGGTAATCTGATATTATTTCATTGAAGGAGTTTGTTGACTTTTTTATTTGAAAATTGAACTTACTGGTCTGAGTATTTCTACAATAGTAAAAATTTTATGCCAGATAATATTTTGTTATTACAATTTTCTATTTTACTCATTTCTCAATTCAAGGTTAAAGGTCTGTGATTATTTAAGACAATGGAAGTCTGAAGCTAACATTGAAATGAACAAACACATTGTCAACTACATTCAAAACTTTCTCAGAGTATGGAAAGTTATAGCTGTAAATTATTCCTCCAAAGAGGAAAAGTGTTTATTTCTTATTACAATGTTCATTGAAAAAGTTTAGAGAAATGACCAACAATTATATTTTCATATTTTTGATGATTTTACATTCTGTGATTTGTTCTCTCCTAGAAAAAATTTGATTGAAATTCTTTAGTGACTTATGTAATTTTCACCTAAGAAATCCTATATACCAATTTTTTTGTTGATTATCTATATAGTGTTAATATGATTACCAACCAAGAATGGTTTATCGACTTTTTTATTATAGTAATGTGATGATTGTTTTATTGGCAATATGTATAATTAGGATTAAATGTAATTTTTATGAATTGACCCTGAATAGGCCAACATAAACTATGTTGTTGTTATTGAAGTACCACATCTGATTTTACGGAAATTAAAGACTAATTTCGATTTTGATCTCAATTTGATTGTTTTGGTATTGTTCTAATTTATTCTTAAAATTAAGTAAACAATAATTGTTTTTGGTATTCTGTGCGTCCTTAGTAAGAACGCACCGTGTTCTATAACGATCAACTGAAATTAGAAAATATGACATATGAATGTTCAGAAAAGTTTAAAGGTAGCCAATCTGCAATCCACAGTAAAATCATTTGTGGGAGTCCTCAAGAAAGGGCACTTGGTGCCTTATCCATATCAAAATATGTTTTAGAAAATTATTCTTGAGAAAAATTTCATCTAGTGCAGATGTTCCAGATGAACTCATATATTTCATCATTATGTGGGTGGCTCTTCTATTAGATTGTTTTTATTATTTCAAGACATGACCAACTGAACATAATTCATGAAATCTCGATTCCTCTTTGCAAAAAATTTTATTTCAATTCAGGGTTATTAAATAGGACAACAAATTGAGTAAGACATGTTATGTATAATATGTTACTGAAAACTTCTAAAATGTAATGAGTCGATTAATTTTTTGCAAAATGGATTCCATTTTTCAGTTGCTCATAACCTGAAGTAAAAAAAGGGTATCTTGATGAGTTGATCAAAATTTTTGTTAAAAACTAATGACAAACAAAAACATTGACTATATTTATCTTGATAAATTTGATTTGCTTGATGAGTTGATTGAGAATATGTCTCTCCCTTTAATTATCTAATTAAATGATGATAGAAATAGTTTCAAATCATGTTTCAAGATGATCGAAACAGTCAATATAAACAAAGACATTGTTTACATTTTCAACAGAAAACCCTTCTTTCTCTTCAGTTATATTCCCTTGATGAATTTGCAATATGAAGTAATTTAAATTTCATTCATTCCAGTATTCCAATACAATTCCCAAATGTGCTACGTTTTTAGTTTATCGGCACTAAATTTTATACATATCAAGATACCCCCGTAAATATGTTCTTATATTATGACAGCAGTTGGTCGTGAAGACAGTGTTGATTCATCTGGTGTAATTTGTTTCAGTTCTTTTCAAAATTATATGAAAAGTTTCTTTTTATTATAATTTTCACATCACGACAAATTACACCAGAGTATTGTTAGTAATTATTATGATTCCCATATCTTTGGAGTAATTTGATAGCGATATTTCCTTACTTTTTATTATTGAATAGAAAGTAGAATATATATATCATAATTGAATGTGTTTTAATCTTTTTTTTCAATTTATCCTCTCTGAAGTAGCACCTGGTGAAACAAAGTTGTAACGTTTTTTATATACTACCTGGTCAATCCAAAAACAAAACTACAATATTTGATAGGTGGAATATCTATTTATTTCTTAAGTATAAAAAATAAATCGGTTTCTAAACGGCGCTTGGCGAGAACAATATTTTGTTTGCGAAATTGTACAGAAACAGTCCAGTCACGGTGCAGGACTATGAGTCACATGCAACTGTTGCCTGGCAAGTTGATTGACATTGAGTCCAGCAACATCTGCAAGACCAACCTCTGTGTAGTATTTTGCATAAATGCCTGTCTGATATAATTCAATGTACAGCGTAGTATTAGCCGGAGAAATAGTTGTTTTCCGGCAGGCATTTACCAGAACCTACTATATAGGTAAGTTGGAAGACATGAATATTTTGAGATTTTATTTTAAAATATTTATTTTCACGTATGTATGTATCTCTCCTTGATTTGTTTTGATTTCTATCAAGAGTATTGGTACATGGGATGTTTCCTTTCCGTTTAGGGTTTTGTGACGGTTTCATACGTACAGTCGAATTTCGTGGAAATTCATCGAGTCCCAAACACCCTGCTGTTTGAGTCGGATCTTTCCTGCACTGATGAGTTGTTTTCTGGCAGGCATTTACGAGAACCTACTGTGTAGGTGACTTGAGAGAGATTAATATTTCGTTATAGAGGGCTCTTTATATGTTGCTTTCTTTGCAAGTGGTGCAAATGGAAGTCATTCTTCTGTCTGGTATCATATTCATGGTAGTCACTGTTTCTGTTCATATTTTTAGCATTCTGATGGATATATATTAATTTGTAGAGATAGATAGATGTTAGTATTAGGATATTGTTTTCAATGAATGTGTTTCTGCATGTTTCTCTATAGTCCAAATCATATTGTAATGAATCTGAAGCTGGCCCTGACCGATATCTCAGCGAGCAAACGCATGACTCATCGGGAATGCACTCGATAAGCCACCGCGAATAATCTAGGCCAGTGCCGAAATCCCTAGAGAGATCCGGAGCGTTCGTTGACGATATAAAAAGGCCGCTCTCCGTACCGAGCAGTAGTCTGTACTTAGAAAGTGAATCGTGCGTTTAAAGAAAGAAATCTAACTGTGAAGATAAATTAAGCGTTAGTTGCTAAGTGTTGTATATAATTTAGTTGTGAAAGTGAAATATTGTTGAGAATAAATTTGTTTAAGACAGTTAATTCGTTACAATTGGTGATCAGAAGTGGATTTTTAAAATAAATTTGTGAGCGCTGGACACTCTTTGTTTTACGGTGAAATTGACAATAAGGCTTATTTGTTCACGTAAAGACTGGTGATTCATTGTGTTTCGCGAAGTGGACAGTACCGAACTAAACTGAAACATCGTGCATTGGTGCCGGACATCGAGGACGATGCAATCATTGGAATGTACTTAATGAATTCCAAAGGGTTCGAGCTGAATTTCCAAGACGGCGTCCTACGTGTCGGCGGAGAAGAGCTGGTGCTTCATTGAAGGAGCGAAGAGATGATTTGGGTTCTGTTGGCTGAAGACGTGTGCGTACCTGAAAGGGCTGAAACCATCCTGGAGGCTCGCTTGGACGGAAGTGCGAGCAGCGGCAAGGTGGTAATGTTCGAGCCCAAGATACACGATGAGAAAATTGGACGAGGAATCGCACTTGGGAAGACCCTGTTGCGTGTTAATAAAGTTGTGCCGGTCAGGGTCATGAATGTCAACTACTTTCCCGTGACCCTGAAGAAAGGAACAATGCTGGGACACTGTTCGTCCAATTCCTCGGTTATACGGAGTGTACGCAGTTCGGTTAGCCAAGCCAAAAACTTGCCTTTAGAGTTGGAGAAGTTGATTGACATTTCCTCCAAGGACATACCACTAACTCCCCGATCAAAACTGAGGGAGTTAGTCAAGAAGTACCAGGAAATCTTCGACATTGGAAAAGAAAAAGGTGGCAGAACGAATGTGGTTTAGCATAGAATCGACACTGGGAATGCCCGACCAATCTGGCAATCAGCTAGAAGACTCCCTCTTGCCAAGAGAGAAGAGGCAGACAAGATAGTCAGCGATATGGGAAAAGAAGGAGTCATCGAACCTTCTGACAGCCCCTGGTCTTCCCCAGTCGTGTTAGTGAAGAAGAAGGACGGCTCGACGAGGTTCTGCGTGGATTATCGCCAACTAAATCACGTGACAAAGAAAGACAGCTACCCTCTTCCAAGAATCGACGACACCCTAGGTACGCTAGCCGGCTCCACAATTTATTTTCTCGAGCTTGGATTTGAAGAGTGGATATTGGCAAGTTGAATTGGTCCCAGAAGATTGAGAAAAGACAGCTTTCACCATCGGCTCAGGATTGTGG